TTTTTGAAGACTGAATTTACGCGTCTTCGCTTGATCATCTTCATGTCATTGTTTATATGCCCGTTATAAGCTGAAGGATGCTAATGAAACTTGCTTTTCCGCTTAATAAATGGACTATACTAAGATAACACCTGGGAGCAATCGTGATCCATTTTCTGAATTTTTGAGAAAAAAGGAAATAGTAGAAAATTCACATTTCCTATATTCCCTTATCGATGGATAATCCTCTTTAGCTCCTTGACCATCATCAACACCCTCAAGGAGCTAAAGAGGGTCAAAATAATCATCTCTAAGTGACCTATTTCATGTATGATGAACATTCATAACGGTCAATCTGAATCAATCTCGTAGGAAACTGGTTGAGAAAAAACCCAAACAGGAACAATAGACAAATTATTAAGATACACCTTGTACTGCTTCGCGAAAATTTCTCGTTGTGCCCAAACAACAAATTTAAATTTAGTAATTTCAGCATACAATAGACACTCGACCCATACTGTTACCTCATGAGGAATTAAATTTCGGACTAGTCAAACAGGAACTTCTTAAGACGCCTCCGGGCAATGCTAAATTATACGCGGTAGATTTAAAGTTCTTTGCTACGGCAATTCGCTTTTGGAATAACCAATATCGAAAGCATTCAAGATCAAGTATCATTTGATGGCTAAACAACCTGTCGGTAATTACGATTTGCCACACATTCTCACTGTCAATGTGGTAGGACGGTGATGATGAAAAACTGATTTTTCTGATACGAAACGAAAAAATATGACGGTTCTGTTATAACAACTTGCTGAAAATAAACGTTCAGTTGTGGTGAGGCCATACATTTTTACAATAATGGAAAAAAATGGTAAAAACCCAAAAAATGTGGAAGATGTTAGGGAAAACGATACGGACAATTTATTTATCATTATTCGCGATTAAAAATCATTTGCTAATTATTAAATTACTAAGTCCTCTGGATGCAAAAAAAATTGCAAACCATGATATTTCGTCGATTTCATATACGAAGAATAAACAACGTTCGAAATTTGTCACATGAAATTCAACAAAAGATGATTGAATTAAATGTATTTTATCAATGGAGTTTCGTTTCAAGTAGAGAGTTAAAAAACGTTTAAGTTGTGAACTTCATATAATTGACACTACTTTACCTTGCGCTTAAATGCGTTAAAACTGAAGTGTATATTAGCCCATAGGCGTACAACTCGAGGGTTTCCACATTTTCATCTTTCTCAATGAGCCGTTCAAGCACCGGAACTTTAAATAAGTAACTTAATTTTAATTAATTTATATGTGCAATTATGTCAACAAAATAAGACAGTCACAATACATATGTATTTTTTGCATTTTTCTTTAGTAACAGTTCTTTAATTGCTCGAAAACTGTTTAAAATGATATAACCGAAAATCACGCTCAAATTAAATTTTAATTTTGAAAATTTTACAAAAACTGCAAAAATAATTTAAAACTATAATAAATCACGATATTAATTCTTATACGGCCAGTTTTATGGCAATTTGAAATTTACTTTATTTAGACAGTGTGTATTTCATTCCGTGAAGTAAATTGGAGTAAGAGATTCTTATATCCTCGAAAAAAACCTGTACAAACTTAGCACGAATGTAGTCGTTTTTCTTGTAAGAAATATATAAAACACACACAGTTTCAGGTGCGATAACCAGCATCCTTGCCAAAATATGTCCAAATATATTGTAGACCCTTACAATGATTTACAGTGCATTGCAGATTAAAATAACTGCGAAAAGCGGAACTTCTAATCGATTACTAACGTTATTGGCACAGTACTTAAGAGTTGAAAAGCACAAAGTAATCATCGCAAGTGGCCTTCAGCATTCAAGTACCTTCTCTTCGAGATTTTCTGTTGGTGTTTGGTACTCGTCATTTACGGTAGTGGCCTTGGCTAACTATACTGTGATGCACAATGTATATATGTTAGTAATAATTATTTTTAAAATTGTTGTTAATGTTTATCTTCCTACATCTAAGCGAAGCAATTGGTAACGCATTGTTCAGACAGGATATTTGAACAGTTAAACAAGAATGATCGTTAAAGTAACGTAATGTTGAATCAATTGAATGCAGTAATTTGAGAGCTTAATACGAAAAAAGCTGTTTATATTTCGGCGAAAAAGTGGCAAAAGGGAACCCATTAAGTATTCAGAGCAAAAATCTGATACCTATAAACAAAGTGGCCTTTTCTTCATTACAAGATTAAGTATTTCAACCCGTTCATCGTTGAAACGCTTCGCTAACCGTATTATCAATGGTCTAATAGAAAATGGAATGACGAAGGATGATTGTGAAAAAAGCGATTTAATCGAAAACTTATGAATTAAAGTAGAAAATATACGAACATGCATGAAATTACTTTTGTCGTTACGCGGTACTATCTGATTTTTTCATTGTTTATGTAAAATGCATTCCTCGGGAACCGTAATCCGAGAGAATAGAAGGAAGTAGCCTTCGGGTGATTCAAAATTTTAAGCAACCAATTGTTTCATGGGCTTTAGTAAGAGCTTCTTTTTCCATCGAGGTGTGAGTGCGATAATCTAATTTAATCAAGTGTGTAATGATGGAGAATATGTTCTCAATAAAACACATTAAATTTAAATTGGTTGGATAGCTTTCAATACTTTTTGCGTTGATGTTGCTGCGGTTGTAGTTTGACCCAATTTACTCAGAATAAAGCTGCACGATTTCAGCTTACTTTAATGATTTCTAGGTATCAATTAAGCCTTATTTATCAAGAAAGTTTATGGGTCAAATTAAAAATAAGTTTTTGGCACCTACATACAGATTTCTTTACTTGCTAGCCGATAGGGCAATGAAAAACATTGATGCCATTCCTCTCATCTAGTTTTTGCAAATGTCGGAGTTTTTAAAAACAATTATAATGTTCACTATTTTTCTACACTTCCAAAATACCCCCACACAACACCCCCAGAGGAATGACGCCAATTTAGAATCACCCTGTGTTATTTGGATCAATTTACTCTCTGCACACCTCTTGAAAAAATCGCCAGCTTAAGTTTTTGAATTACCATCTATATAGATAAATTATAATAGGAAATTGTAAAATCGCAAAACGTTTTATATTGTGTTTTATTAATAATTAATGATAAATATTAATTTAGAGTTCTAGTAGGAAATTCAGCATGGTAAGTCCTGTTAAACAGATGAATTTGCATACTTTTGAATGTTAGGAAGTTAGAAGAAGCGTGTGCTCATTACTATTTATGCAGAAAAGAATATTTGTTACATTCTATAGATACAGGATGTTTGAACACAAATAAAACTGCATACGAAACGTATCGTAACAAATCACTTATTGCTAAAATATGTTTTTTTTGCGACCATCGGCATCTTTCATTATTATTGGTAACAGACAACACATAAAAAAATGAATAATTACTTATCCACCGCGCATCACGCCAGTTAATATCGGTAAGGTTAAGATGTTTGATAAGCACGTAATTCAATAATCTAAAAAACGTTTTTTTTCTAGTTGTTTCTGTATAACAATATATTATGAGACACCTTTTACACAAAGTCTCCCATACTTGAAAAAAAAACTTTCTGAAGATATAAACTTTCTGTTCATAAACACATCTTTAATAAAATTTGATTGGCATCTAATCATCTTAATGGGTATATTTTTATTAAATAAAATTGACGTGTCGTTTTGTTGCCTATGGAATGTTTTTGGCACAGTTATAAAGGCTGCTATAAGCTCATCAGCAATATTAAAAAAATATCGATGTAAATCGTCTGAATTTATCGCTAATTGTCGCTAATTGAAAAGAACAATGTCTATTTTAAATTAGTTCGATGATACAGCGTCGGCAGATACAGTGTCGGCAGATCCATAAGCGAGGGCCGACTTTTATTTAAATATTACAGACAATCCTACCAAATCATTTTGAATTAAAAAAGTTCCAAAATTTCTTCTAATATCTTGTTTTTAAGACATTACAAATCAGCCATACCTATTTAGGTTAAGATTTGCTTGTCGTCTGCATTACCTCTTAATGCAATAAATGTGATGAGAAATGGTAAAAAGCACAGTGAGAAACAAGACTGTTTGAACTCCTCTGAATCCAATCCGAAGCAAACTGACTCTTGAAGGTGGAGGCCATATCTGCTAGAGAAACGTAGAGGACCAAATTCTTAAAGGCGACTGATTATCAACTCGAAAATCACCAATTGTTTAGCACGAGTCGGGCTGGGTCAATTGTCCGAATTTCCTTAATGTTTGAAAGTTTAGTGGAAAGTAGAAAAGTATTTGCGGACAACCAGTTAACCAAGAATTTGATTGAAAAACTGCATTAATTATCAAGTTTTAGTGAACTATTCTTATAGCCTAATACACTTTAAAGATGCAAATTGACCTTTTAAGGAGATTATACAGCCAGCAAGTTTTAAGATATAACTCCCACGCGAAACTGCGCATCTATACACTTATATATCTTTTAATTAAGTTTATAGTCGAAGTAAAAAATAAAAACTAGGAAAGTATAATAATAAAACGCTAGACTGGGGCCCGTAAAATTTGGTTTGTTTTTATTTTTGCTGCAAGAGCCATAAAAATATACTTTTATGTTTATGTCTATCCCATAAAAATTCTGCTTGCTAATCTTTTTTATTTTATCCTTTTATTTTTTATGGCTTTCGAACGAAAACGGCAGTCTCTTTTGACTAAACTCGGATTAAATTCAAAACACAACAAGAATGCAATAACATTTATCTCTGGTAAATTCGGTTTCTAGAATACAAAAACAATTAAAATTCTCCCTCATGAGTATGTGAATATACTAGCGCCAAATGTGGACTTTTGCCAGAAAATAGATCCGGGATCCGGGATTCGGGAATACAAGAATTGTCTGTTGAACATTTGGGTAACAATAAACGAATTGGAGACGAAACAACATTATTAGTATGCCTATTTTCTACATAGCAATAATAAAATATCGTACCTTTTTGCATCTGGTTGTGTTCATTCATTTTAGATTCGTATCCTTGTTTGCCCATGCCCATTGTATTCCGAGTCCAGTTCGGATAGTCGTCTTTCCCATGTTGGCCACACTGAAACAAATAAGTTATTAGGCATTTGTATTAGATTTTAATTCAACTTATCCACGCAGTTTGTTCTTCACTTAAAGTCACCGGGTGTTTTTTATTAAGGGATTTCTCAGGTATTTTTAAGACAAAAAGTCTATATACGAATGGGTACGCAAGGCAAGTATCGAGCTGCAGGGCGTTAAAAAATGAATTAACATTTTTGTTGTTCCTAAGTAGTTTTTGAAATAATAACGATATTTGGACGAAACATGGTATCTGGGGGTTTCGAAGCAACAAGTTTAAATTTCATCTTGGTTTTGCTGCTACAGGTAGTGGGTGCTACTTACATCTATTTTTTTCTTTTGAAGAATCATGACTTTTTCGTGCATTGTTTCATCAGATTTTGTTGCAAGAAAATCAAATCCTTAAGTATTCGCTTTAAAAAGTGGCTTCAAACAACTGTTATTAAGATATTTTGTTTCAAAGTAATCAGCGCATGTTTTTTTTTAAATACAATGTCCTTTACGTCAATATGTTTTTTTGACTTGACCACTCATAAACAGCATGTAAACTTTTGAAAAACACATACGTCAATTATTTTCGCTAAATGGCTGAAAAATTGGTAACACAATTGATTTTGTTGCTAAAATATGTAATAATAAAAAAAAATTAAACACCCATTTGCTCCATAAGTAAGGATTTATGGACCCTTGAATATATGGACTTTTATCTGAAAAATACCTGATGATTATACCTAACACTTATCAAAAAACACCTGGATATACATATACTTTTTACGTGTTGGCCGTCTATTCTATTTTTATAGTTATTCTTAATATTATTGTCATACTATAGTACATTACATATTAATTTATTTTTATTGTTATTATTATTACCCTTGTATTGAAACTGAAAATTAATTTTTTTTTTAAATCCCTTTACAAGTAAAGATTCACGATAACAAGATAATATAAAATTATAGGATACCTGCACATTAGCAAGTTTAAGTAAGCATTTACGAAAATAACTGAAAAACGAGAAGTCCTAAGCGGATTTTCAATTCAACTTTTCGTTGATCATTCCAATCACTTTCGCTTTTCATTAATTGGAGCTTTTTCATGACACACATATGGCCTATTTGAACAACAGGTGAAAGTGTTAAACCGTTCTAATCGACTGAAATTCGAAGCACTTGTTATGAGCAAAAATGTTTTAGTCTTACCATGAACAATGCGATATTCTTCTGGGTTTATTTTACAAAAGCAAAGAAAATGCATCGGAGCCGCCAAAAGAATAAACAAATGTGCCTCTTGTTGGGGAACGACAATTTGTGAGAAGAAAGACGAGAACAACATTCGTTAATGAAAAAGAGCAATAATATTCCATCTACCCCGTGACGATCGCCCGGTAGTACTTTTTTTAATTGAACATTTTGATACCAGGTTTGGACGAGCTGGTCTTCTCCCATGGCTCCCTAACAGCCCCGACTTAACACCTCCTGACTCTTAGGAAATGTTATCTACCAGTAAGTCCAGTAACAAATATTGACGATTTACGCCTTATGAAAGCGCATGCAGCTAGCAATATATAAATCCTAACCAAAATATTCAAAACTTTTGAGGTAACATTTAAATTGATAGTAGAAAATAGATAGAACTAATCTTAAGGTTTTTTTTATTGAATCTACAGGGTGATTCACAACTTTATGGACACAGAGCAGGGGCGTGTAGAGGACCTCAAAACAAATCGAATATTAATTTAATGTTTTTGTCTTGAGTCTATGGTTAACAAAATACAGGGTGTTAAAGTTTCGAGCAAAATTGGTATTTTCTCTTTCACTCCTTCAGTTTATGAAATATTTTGCTCAAATTTTGAACGTTTGCTAATGTTTAGACCCTTTACCTGTAGGTAAGGTTGAAGGTAAGACTGGTTGTCAAAATCTACAGGACGTTCTATTTTCTAGAGGCATACTCCATTTTATCCCCCCAAACTTTTTTGTGGTTTTTTGTGGCGACCAGAGAAACATCCACCCAAATTAAACTTACACCAAAATTATTAATTAACCTTACCTTTATTAATTTAAACAATGAGATTAAGTCAAAGTCACATAACTGACAATTTGCACAGACGAATTATCAGAGCGAATTTTCATATACTGTA